CCCGTAGCCTCTCCTCATAGGACCTGCCCTGCTGCCCCCTGATCATGCGGGTGGCCCTCCTCTGGACCCTCTCCATGTTGTCCACATCTCTCCTGAAGTGCGGCACCCAGAACTGGACGCAGTACTCCAACTGCGGCCTGACCAATGTCATATAGAGGGGGAGGATCACCTCCTTGGACCTGCTCATGATGCATCTGTGGATGCATGACAAGGTGCGGTTAGCCTTCCTGACTGCATCCCCACATTTGTGGCCCATGTTCATCTTGGAGTCTATAATGACTCCAAGATCCTTTTCTGCCTCTGTGCTGATGAGAAGGGAGTTCCCCAGTCTGTAGGTATGCTGCTGGTTCTTTCTCCGTAGCTAAGGTTCCCTGCACTTGTCAGTATTGAATCCCATCTTATTCTTATCCGCCCAACCCTGTAACCTGTCCAGATCCAATTGCAGCCTGTCCCTCCCTTCTAGCATGCCCACTTCTCCCCACATCTTAGTGTCATCTGTGAATTTGAACAAGGTGCTTTTCACCCCCTCGTCCAAGTCGCTGATGAAAATGTGGAACAGTGCGGGGCCGAGGACCAAGCCCTGGGGGACCCCACTGCCCACATCCCTCCAAGTCGGATAGGACCCGTCCATCACCACACTCTGGGTGCGGCCCTCCAGCCAATTGGTGACCCATCTGACTGTGTAGGCATCGACACCACAATCTCCTAATTTTTTAAGGAGAATGGGGTGAGAGACAGTGTCAAAGGCCTTCCTAAAGTCCAGAAAGACTACATCTACCGCGACATCTGCATCCAAGGATTTTGTGACCTGGTCATAGAAGGCCACCAGGTTGGTCTGACAGGACCTGCCTCTAATGAACCCATGTTGGTTGCCCCTAAGCATACACGCCCCTGCTTGCCCCTCGCAGATGTGCATCTGGATAATTCTCTCAAAGAGCTTCCCCAGGACCAAGGTAAGACTAACAGGCCTATAATTTCCTGGGTCCTCCTTCCTCCCTTTTTTGAAAATGGGAACCACATTGGCCCTTTTCCAGTCCTCTGGCACCTCGCCAGAGCACCATGAGTGCTTGTAAAGCTGTGCCAGGGGTCCTGCAATGACCTTTGCTAATTCCCTCAGCACTCTGGGGTAGAGATTGTCAGGAGCTGCTGATTTGAACACGTCCAGGCCCACCAGAAGTTCCCTGACTCTTTGACCCTGGGCCTGGCTGCACCTCCCCTGGGACCATCGGGGATCCCGGTGGGGTGGGGGGTGACCTGGTCACATGGGTGAAACTGTGTGTGTTAATGTGCAGTGGGGTGAAAGCTGCAGGCCTGCTAGCCCCTGCTGAGGCCACAAAGCCTGCCAGCTGTCAAGGAGATCGGTGTAGGAGGGTTCTGGGGACTGGGGCCCTGCATCTCTAGCTGCTGACAGGCAAAACTCGTGACATGGGTGCTTATGCAACTGTGTCCGTCTTGGGGCATGGGGCAGGGGGGGACTACTGCAGGCCTGGCTGCTAAGCTACTGTGTTACCAGTTACCAATTAATCATGATTCACTCAGGGACCAGCTCAATACACAGTACCTAGCTACTACATAATGAATTAATGAGCAATGATTAACACCTATAAAACCACAGACTAAGGAGAGGAAATAATACAGACAATCAACTGCCCCAAGACAGACAGTCAGTTGCACAAGCACCCATGTCACGAGTTTTGTCTGTCAGCAGCTAGGAGTGCAGGGCCCCAGAACCCCCCCTGCACCTATCTCCTTGACAGCTGGCAGGCTTCATGGCCTCAGCAGGGGCTAGCAGGCCTGCAGCTTTCACCCCACTGTGCTTAAACACACACTGTCACCCATGTCACGACTTTTGCCTTTCAGCAGCCAGAGGTGCAGGGCCCCAGAAGCCAGACTCTCCCTGCACCTTTCTCCTTGACAGCTGGCAGGCTTCATGGCCTGAGCAGGGGCCACCACCCCTGCAGTTTTCAGCCCGCTGCGCCTTAACACACACAAGGTCATCTATTTCACGAGTTTTGCCTGTCAGCAGCTTGAGGTGCAGTTCCCCCCAAACCCCTACACCTATCTTCTTGAAACTTGGCAGGCTTTGTGGCCTCAGCAAGGGCTACCACCCCTGCAGTTTTCACCCCCCTGTGGTGTAACACTTACACATGACATAAGTTTTGCTTTCAAGAATTTGGGGTGCAGTTCTCTTTTTCAAAGCAGAGAAGAGAGAGTGGAGGAAGGAAAAGGAGAGAATTTCTAGCATGTTGAGGAGGTCACTGTCACCATGAACAGTCCTAACTCAATAGCCTGAGTTTTAAGGAGTGATAGCAATTCTAGCTCATGAGTTTCAGTGTAATATCTATGGTCAGTAAGATCAACAACATCTGTGATATAGTCTTGGATAAGATTGCCTTACCTTACTTGTATCAGTGAGACCCCCCCCCCTGGAGGAGTCAGACCGTGGGGAATGAGTTGAACTGGGAATTGATGATGAGCCATCACCAGTCAGATAGTATATCAGATCAGAATTCTACTCTAGTTTCCATGTAATATGTATCCCTTCACTTTAACTCTTAATATCTTGGGTGAACAATCCAAATACAGATTTTCATTCTAACCCTACTTTGAAACAGCTAACATGCCACAGCAAAAAAGCTTACAATGGAGATAATAATAGTGATGCATAACAATTGTCAGTCATCCTGAAGTGTTTTCTGGTTTGCTTTGCAAGAAGAAGCTGCTTTCAAGACATAGACAAAATTTAAAACAACTCCTAAAATAAGACTCTTTTCAAGACCACAATGACATTTAGAATGTCAGGCTGATGACAGGTGACTTTACTAAATGCTTGGGACTTATATATAGGGATATTTCATTTTGATGTTGGTCTCTTACCTCAGTGTAATTCAATCTAATATAACTATAAAAAATTGACTTTGTCTTGTGTAGCCTGCTGAAAATATAGCCTATTAATTTAATTACTCAAACAGGAAGAGTTGTGCAGAAGCAAAATGGGGAAATATGGAATCGTACCATTCTCATAAAACTAGGCATGATAATAAAACTGGCAAGATTGAATATTTTTATAGATTTTTCTCAAGGCTACAAACTGAAAATGTAATTTTATGCTAGTAGCAAACTGTAAACCATAAATGATGAGATGTGAAAGAAAAAAGCAGTTTGCAAGCTGCCAGTAAATGTTTAAAAGGGATACTGCCAGATAAAATTTGACTCAAAATTTAGGTTCTGCATATGGTTTTATTAAGCTTTTAAATAGCCTGAGTAAATAAAAATATTTCCATTACTATTTTGCTTAAATTTTGCAGGAATGAAGTTTCTCTAAGAAAATAAAATTTTGTCAAAAGTTTGCAACCAAAACATTGTCCTAGTCTTGCTCCCATGTAGCAAGATGAGAAAGGCAGTGTTAGTATGATCTTACATTCTACTACATGGGAACCTGAAATATAAGATAAACTGATTAGACAGTGTTTGATTGATTGTTTTTTATTTTCTCAGATGAAAGACACATACATTGATTTACAGCCTAATCTTGTAAAGACTTTAAGCTCAACTTAATGCTTACATGCTGTGAGTGCTTTTCTGAGACCCCTGGCACATGTTCATTTAATCATATGATGGGATCTGACCTCTGATCCAAACAATTGCACCTCTTGCCAGACCATACGGACATGGCAGGAGGTGCAGGTTTGGGATTGGGAATCAAATCCCAACCACACCATTAGTACTTGCCAGTACAGTGGGAGCCTATAGATTCATAATCCCTGCCACTCCACACACTGCCAAATTGGGCCAGGGACAACAATAAGATGATTATCAGCTCTTGTGCCAGTCTCAAACTCACCCTGGTCTCAAACAGGCTCCTGGATCAGACAGTCAGTTGATTGCTAGCTCTGGCTCCAAGACTGCACTGGAGGCTTGAACTAGCTCCAGTGTAAATCTGGGACTGAAGCTAACAATTAGCTAAGTGTCAGCTCCTGCTGGGACAGCCCCAGGTCTGCTTCACCCAGGGTTGTCCAGGCAGTCAATGGGTTTAAAGTCCCTGACTGAAGAAGCCCCTTGGCTCCTCCACTGGGAACCTCTGATCCCCCACACACAGTGCTGCCAGGTGTCAGGTTTAAGGTTCCTGGCCACACACTACATTTAAGG